ATCCCTTAGCTGCAAACACAGGCAGGGTTGATCGGGCTAATGGCGGATTATCGGAAAAAAAAAACCTCCAAAAGAATGAGTAAAAATAAAGTAAAAATTGCACTTTGAAACAAAAGCAAAGCCATTTCCCTCCACCCAATTTATGGTATAATACCAAAAATCATGCAAAACACTGCACCAACACAAGTGCTTAAATCTAAAAGACTATTATAAGCGGTACAAAAAAAAAGATGAAAAGGTACATGGGGTAGAGGGGAATGCTGCTGAAGCAGTCTCGTTTCATTGATACGCTCACGAGCCGTCGCATACAGGGCGCTTGGCCGCCCAGATTTTCTCATATCCGAAAAAGAAGCCTAAAAAATCATGTATATCTGTTTAGTAATTCACCAATTAATGAGATTCGAAGCAGAAGCAAGAAAAGTTGTCATTTCATGTTGCTGGAGCAACAAATCAAAGGATTATTAGCGGATCCTGGGCGAATTATTAGGACCGATCGACCAATAGCGAGATTGATACAACGGGGAGAGGGGGGGGGGATCATCCTACTGTAGCCTTATTTAGGCCCCAAGTGTACATACTGAGAAACACAGGGCCAAATTAGCGTCCTAAATTTACTTCAAAATTACCTAACATGTCCCCAATTACATAGCAAAATGGGGCACTGCACTGAAAAAAAAATTTAGGATTCCCACCCCATTTCGCACCATTTTAGTTGCCTGTGTTTACAGTTCAGGGATGAAACACAGACGTCACCCAATGCAAATACCGGCTAGCTTAAATGAGATTGTAAAATCTGGCTTCTTCGCAGAATATCAAATAATCGACTGTTCCATTCCTCTTTCCTCTTGTCGCCGCACCTTGTCAGCAGCAATGCTATAATTTCCAATACTTACATATAGCATAATTGGCTCACCTTTGCTCTAATTGGACCTACATCATCGGACCCAACAGGGATGGGAGCGATCAAATCGTGAATGGACTGATTGCACAATCGACGAATTCGGAAGGAAATGATAAGTAACAGCCATTCGAAGGCCGAATCAGAAGTGGACGGTCCAAGTGAGACGGCCGAAGTGGGTTAAAAACTGATAAAAAATTTTTTGTAGTCCTTGGCAGGCCAAACCATAATTTTTGAAGTAACGGCCAGTCTGAACTGTGGAAAACATGGAACGGCCGAAATCGTTAAATTTTAATGGGCCGCTGTTCCTGGCCCTGGTTACTACCCTCTTCCATTCCCTCACGGGGCCTTTGAGGCCCGTATTGCCTTTTTATTTTAATGCGAAGTGGAATTAGTAAACGGATTATGATGGGAAAGATAGTATTCCCTCTGTAAGCGATATGAGCTTTCAACCGAACTCCCAATGCGGTACAAACCGTGTGACATGTTGACAAGTCATGCAAAGAGTCCTCGACCTCTACTTCCAGCTTCACAATGACCGCGAGGTGATAAAATGTAGGATTTCCGGATGATTTTCTAGCACACTTCTCAAAAAACAACCAAAATCCCTCAAGCAAATCTACTCGTGAATAGTACACATATCTAAGCTCGCTTATCAGCAACCGTGTTTGAAATGTGGTTAAATCTATCAATTGATAATCAACATTTTCAGTTTGTGGATGTTAATTTGTGAGTGTTAACAGCAGAAAATGAAGTGAAATTTTTGCAACGAAAACTTCAGAAACTTTGAAAACTTCATGTTTGTGCTAAAGATTTCAAATTCAGCTATCGCAAAGGCTTACCATCGCGCGTACAGTCACGTCAAAGTTCGCAGTTGACATTGTGCTGACTCGAAAACTAGCCGAAAAACAGCGGCAAAAAAAAAGAACTTCCACGTACCTTCTCATGATTTGCCAGAGTGAATTGGAAGGCATCACGTACTTCTTGTAAATGTTCACTCATCCCAGCAATATGCCTTCCGTAAGCGATATGAGCTTTCAGTCGAACACCCAGTGTTATACCTCTTGTCAAATCGTCCACATTGGGCTGCAATATAATTAAAATTTCACTTCTCTCCTTCAGAATCACTGCAAAATCAGTGCATTAATCCTGTACTGTCTAATTAAAACAAATTACAAAGCATGTATATGTGTTCTGTTTGATAAATAAGTGCACCGGTAACGCATCAGAATTTAAAGACGAACCCAATTTTTCGGGACTTAAAACATCACTTTAAAAAAATAAACTACAAGAATCTTTTTAATAAAAATAACTCTTTTTGAATGAATACTGGGGCGAACGAAGGAAAGAGAAGTAGGAAACAGAGAAAACAGAGCCACTTGAAAAAAGGTTTTGGATTTACTCAACTGAGAGATTACGGTAAGAATACGGTAATACGGCGAAGAGTGCGGTACAGATTACGGTGGCAGATTACTGCAAAGGACACAAGCTACGGTAAAAACGAACCTTCCATGTGGTGCCGCATTTTCCGAGGTTTTCGTTGGAGAAGGGGTGTTCCGATGGCACTGTTGTTGAGCGCTGTTCATATTTCGAGGACAGAGCAAGTCGACCTGAGAATGAGGCATCCAGAAAGCGTTCCACTCTGCAAAAAACAGATGGATGAAAGCTACAGGCAAATCATTTTTTTAAGAAACAGCTCTGAATATATCCTCATTTCACTTAGATATTTCTAGAACGGGAAAAGCAGTGAGAGAAGGATAACAAACGAAATATAATTTCCTATTTTTTCACCGCATTCATTTCGTCTGTCACCAAATGAGCCTAATACAAGTGCGGCAGCGTTCAAATTTAATCCGAGAAAACTGAGCACGAGATTAATTCCACTGAATTGGCGCACAAGCCAAATCCCAGGCAGGCTCGAACATAAGCCTAGCTTGAAAGGTCTACCGCATAGACCCAGTTCAAGGGGAAGGGATATTCAAAAGAATGTGAAATAGAAAGTTATAATAATAAGGAATGAAATAAAGAGAAAAAAAAAGGTAAAAAAATGAAAATTACAAAATTTGTGAGACTACCGTAATAGTAAGAAATGTTTCGGCCCATTAAACTGTATACATTTCTTACCATTACCAGAGCTGCAGGAATTTGAAGTTGTAGGAATTTGTAAGATATTTTCAATTTGTCCTGGAACTGTACCTCTCAATGTTAGCGCCCACATCATCCAACGTTTCGAACGACTGCCTGATTCTTGCATTGATCGTTTCATCATCGTTCATGTTCATAGCGAACCTCAAGTCCGCGATCGCAGTCTTAATGAGAATAAGCACATCTGGTATTCGATTTTCATCGCTCTTTCCCTTCCCCCCACTCCCCAAGTTCCCTCCTCTCCTTGCCCTC